ATCAAAAGACATAAAAAAATTGAAATAAACTCCAACTTTTATGACTACTTATGGGTATAAAGTAAGTGGTACCAAACATATGGTATAATACTAAGTGTTTCTTTATAGTAAAAACATTTTAAAAAGAAAAATAGATGATGTGTATAAGTTCTTATAACAAAAATTGTATAGAAATAAAATAATTAAGCAGGGAACAAAATTTTCCGGTTATGTGAGTCTTACAGATGTGGCAGAAGAAGGAAGAATAAGAATCAGATGAGAAGAGATAAACTCTATCTATCATAGATGACAGTCTACTGTTCTCAGCTATACATATAACAAGCAGTGCATATAGTGTTTTAATCTGCAGTAATATTTTCTACACCACAGCAAATGATGAGATGAACAAAAAGGTTTCTTCTGACTGGGATAGAATCCAAAAAAGTGACAATAGTACTTGTAAAATAGTAATAATAGTAAGCCCTAATAATTAGATGAAGGTGAAAGTTAAGAGAGATACAATAAGCTCATTATCCTTTAGGGAAGTATATGGATATTTAATAAATAGAGCCATGTTTGATAGTACGGCTGGACACATTATTCACATTGCGTTCACGCTGCAGATACAAACACCCTATACACTACTTGTTATATATCTAAGAACAAAAAACGGTCACCTGTGATAAATAGGATTCGACGACATCTGTTCTCATCTGGCCCTTACTTTTCCATTTCCTGTCATATTTGGAAGACAATTTTGTTCCCCGCCATCAGTAGGTACCTATACACACACACACGCACGCACGCACGCACGCACGCACGCACGCACGCACGCACGCACGCACGCACGCACGCACGCACGCACGCACGCACGCACGCACGCACGCACGCACGCACGCACGCACGCACGCACGCACGCACGCACGCACGCACGCACGCACGCACGCACGCACGCACGCACGCACGCACGCACGCACGCACGCACGCACGCACGCACGCACGCACGCACGCACGCACGCACGCACGCACGCACGCACGCACGCACGCACGCACGCACGCACGCACGCACGCACGCACGCACGCACGCACGCACGCACGCACGCACGCACGCACGCACGCACGCACGCACGCACGCACGCACGCACGCACGCACGCACGCACGCACGCACGCACGCACGCACGCACGCACGCACGCACGCACGCACGCACGCACGCACGCACGCACGCACGCACGCACGCACGCACGCACGCACGCACGCACGCACGCACGCACGCACGCACGCACGCACGCACGCACGCACGCACGCACGCACGCACGCACGCACGCACGCACGCACGCACGCACGCACGCACGCACGCACGCACGCACGCACGCACGCACGCACGCACGCACGCACGCACGCACGCACGCACGCACGCACGCACGCACGCACGCACGCACGCACGCACGCACGCACGCACGCACGCACGCACGCACGCACGCACGCACGCACGCACGCACGCACGCACGCACGCACGCACGCACGCACGCACGCACGCACGCACGCACGCACGCACGCACGCACGCACGCACGCACGCACGCACGCACGCACGCACGCACGCACGCACGCACGCACGCACGCACGCACGCACCCACGCACGCACGCACGCACGCACGCACGCACGCACGCACGCACCCACGCACGCACGCACGCACGCACGCACGCACGCACGCACAAACGCACGCACACACACCTATACACACTAAGTAAAGACGTAGTATTAAACTACACATTTAGTTGGAGTTCATTTTAATTTTTGATGTCCCTACATTTACGATATACATTACTATGTTTAATTTTAAGGTCAGATGATGGCTCTTGGGTCATTCTAATTATATATTGTGTGGTATTCGATTTTAAGAATTTTTATTTATGAAAATTGCCACATTTTAGCGATTTAATAAAATATTTGGTAATAAATATACATAAAGATAGAAAAAAGAATCCATAGCAGAATTTAGAACAAGATGTAATAATTCTCATTACTATTAGTAGTTTAATTTTTCCAATGCTATATTTGCTAAAAAGTAGAAACTGTATAGTCCAATAGGAAGTTCACTATCTATCATAATTTTGTATCTTACGAGAACAAATATATTTATTATATAAGTTATTATCAAATAGTTTAGGTACTGTAATATGAGCAATGTCCGACCAGTCTGGTCATGCTCTGATCCTTTGGGTCCCTCTGCCATGTTTGGGACTTGTTACAACCCACTTGTCTTTAAAATCAGGAATATTTGATAAAGAGGATGAACCCCCTTTACCCAACTATAGATACGCCTATGCTTACAGATAACCTGTATGAATAATCAATCCGGGAATGTATTAGAACCCTTATAAGGTGATTTTAAAGCAGTAACTAGAAATCTTATTGTAGTTAGGATTTGATTTTGAATTTGTAAGAATAAAAAATAAATATTTGTTTTGTGTATTGATCACGGATGAAAAGAAAATTGGTGTTGTAGTTGCTTTGGCCTCTGACATTTTATCAAACCTTTTGCCATGTTCATCAACAAATCTTGGCTATCTTGAAAATTAATTGGCTTTTTATTTACAAAAACTTTAAATGCGTCCATATCCAGGCACTCGGTTAGAGTTGCCAGACGGCTCGCTTTAGGCTTGATGGCATGCGTTACGCCAAAGTGCGAAAATATCCCACATTTCAACTAAATGCTACGCTTTTAAAATCCAAAGGTATATATAAAGAAATTTTTGTCAATTTTTGACCTTTTTTTAAAAACTACTTAAAAAAATACCTTTATAAAAATATAGGGGGAGGACCTTTTTTTAGATCTCCACAAAGAAAGGATCTTATTTTATAAAAATACCTGTTTTTTTTAACCTAATCCCTGTCGTCATCGTTGTCCCACTTTTCCCTTTCGTAAATCTGGCAACCCTATAATGAGCCTTTCTTTCGATTTTACAAATAACACAACTATGAAGATCATAAACACAACCAAACAATAATTTAATAATTAAAACGTAAAAGTTTTACATTTGTCATTTCATTTGAGATTTCATACCTGTGATGACCACGTTTTTACTGTAATCATGTTATACTTGACCATTTCAAGACAATATTCAATACGACGTCATTGTTTTTGATTTATGTCAGTGTAGTCATTTATATTCAAGACTAGTATCTGATTTAAAATCGCCTTTACTTAATAGGAGACTATTCGAGTAAAATGGTGAGAGCGCTACAATGGCAAATTAAAAGTAGAATAATTTGGTGGATGTTTAGGAGCTCCTTCGCCAATTATATAAATATTTTAGCAGTTATGGACAGTCAGTCTAAGTCGAGTCATAGTAGTGACAACATCGATAAAGTAAATGTGAATGAGTTAAATAAATAAGAAATATAAAAAGTATTAAATAAATTAATTGGTACGTAGTGTAAATAAATTAAAAATAAACAATCGTTACAGTACTAAACCTTAATAGATTATGTTTGCTCATTTCCCAAATTAAAATTATTGTTTTGGACTTTTCTTTTTTGTATTTATTTTAAAAATACACTTGTTACTGTTTATTCATTTGTGTAGCCTCGGGGTTCCTACTTCTGAGGACTCTGAGTCTTTAAACAGTTGCTCAACTATGCTATTAAAGAATCGTTTTGTTTTTTCTTTCATTTTTTCTTTTATTGATTTCTCATTATTTTTTTATTGTTTTCTTTTTTTTTAATACGTGTAAACGGATGCTCCTTCAGGACTCCGGGACTCTATAACTGGTTACTGTGCTGCCCCCTTCCTTGATAATACATAGGTGACACTGATCTAAATTAGCAAAAAAATAGTTAGAGACCTTTTCAGTTGTTACAAAAACAGAATTATATTATAATATTAACTAATGTGGATCCTTATTTTCAAATTTAAAAGATAAAACGCCATTCCAATATTCAAACTAGTATACCTACAAAATAACGATGAGGCTGTGAAAAATGCTGTAATAGTATAACAAAATAATATCAAAAAACAGTATATATCAACATAAATAGGACTATCCTAAAAAAATTAAATAAATGTAGAAAATACCTTATTAGCCTTTCATCATTTAACAAGTTACACTATTTTGACTTAAGACATCGTAAAGTTGATAGAGGATCCAACTATTGCAAAATCATGTCCTCTTACCACTAACTCTACATAATTACCTTTGAAGGACGAAAACTCTTATCGTACTCAGCAATGAAAATTTATATTTTTTAATACTATCTAATGAGATTAAATAATCAATTTTAATGTGAAATCAATATAATACATGGCAAGAAAATAAAGTAGTTTTTTGCGTGACTAGGTGTAATCTGCAGTTATACTTAACATGTTCTTATCATGATCTGTAACACTAATATGGCTGTTATATTTAATTATGATATATACGTTACATTTTTATCTACCCCTAACAATTTATAGATCATATTTTTGACAACCTTATATGTTCATTTATTTAGTTTTTACATAAATTTATGTCACGCAAATATAATATCATTGTGCAATATTACAATATCCCTGTGTACAAGGGTCCGCGGTTCGAATCCCACTGTTGCGTTGGCCGGCTTTTATTTAAAAATAATTCTGATGCACAGGTAGGATTCCCCATTCCAACCATTCAATTCACAGTGCTGTATTTAAACTAACGTAGGGAAACAGTAACAAAGCCTATCTCTAGATAACACAAGAATACGAGAACATTGGCCTAAGTTGTCAAAGCTGAAGACACCAATAAAAAAATATTTCTGTGCTTTCATGGAAAATAAACAATGCAAGCTACTTATTACTATGCTTGGGTGGTTTTCTTTTAATATATCTCTCCCATCTTCCTTCTTTTCTTTCTTTTACTTACGCTCTAACAAATAAATGAAAATATAGGTAAATAAAGACCAAGAAAAATAAGAATAAGAAAAACGTCACAATTAACTCGAATAATGAAATATTGTGTTAATACTAATAATTTTACTACTGTAAAAATTTAAATACCTTGGCGATATGTCTTCCTTGCTGGGTGTCCTGCTGGACAAGTATCTCCTTTTAGGAGTACCGTCTTCCCTATGAACTGTGGTGTGGTATGGATACAAACAAGTTGAATATTGTCTGGTTCTTGACACAAATCGATTCGAGAGAAATTTACTAAAAAAACAAACAAAAAAACATTATTAGACTATTAATAATACTGTAAAACAATTAGGCACGTAATATTTAAGCAAAACACATTAAAACTTGTAAAAAATACTAGAATATTTTATTTAATCCTCAAGTCTATAATACAAATGCTACTACAGTCTAGTATGGAACCATATCTCTATATAACAATTTTCATCAATTATTAGATTGATTTAACTTTTACTTCACATTTTTAAGTATTTGCTTTTCTATCAAGAAATGTTTTGTATTTTAGACCAGAAGATGCCCTATAAAGTTTGAAACTAGCAGCATGGTATTTAATAATTAAAATATTGTTTCACTATTTCTTTGAAAATACCTTTGAAAATATGGATATTTTATTCATTTAAAAAAAAAGAAATATTTTAATATAATTCAACTTTATTTTCTAAAAGAATGGATATTTTAACATTCTTCAAAAAAGTAAATAGGTATAGGCATTCGCGGTGGAAGGAGGGGTATGCGGAGGCTTTATCCTTCCTCATGGTACTAAGGTAGACCCGATTAGATTTTAAGTATACTTCACTCTAGCATGGTTCAAGCCCCCTTTAAGTAAATTATTCCGCCGCCAATCGACATAGGTATATATCATGATACTATTACTCGAGAAGATAAACCCACGCGCATGCGATCAGCCCATCTCTCTCGCACGCCTGACGTCACTGGGAGACTACCCGACTCGGCAACAGCCAGTTCTATACGGCGAAAAGCGGTTTTGCGTATATTACTAATTATTTAATTCTGTTTTATTGGTTTGTTGGGTTTTAGAAGTAAACGTGCGTAAAGCTTTTTATATGTTATATTTAAAAACATTGTTTTAAATATTTACTATGGTATACTGTGTAGTGGTGGATTATTTAAACAATAACAACCAAAAACATACCTTGTGCTGCAAATTGAATCAATACTTCAAAATTTCTATAGATGTTTAACTTTTAAGACGATTTATTTCTTGTTTATCCAAACATTTTTAACTTTTACCCCTCCTTTTTTACATTCATCCGTAATTTTTATAAAAATATTAAATTGATTGTAAAATGAAAATATCTATACTTTAAAAGCTCTAAAATAAGATTTACCCCCTCCCCTTTTTAAAATTTTAAAATTAAAATAGTACGGCGAAACTCGATTTTTTAAATATTTTAAATTTTTACCCCTTCTCTTTTTACTCTTTTTCTAATTATCTATTAAAATATTAAACGGATAATAAAATCAAAATGTTTACAGCCAAAAACCTATATAACGACATATCACTCGATTTTCTACGAAAAATTGCAATTTTTTATAATTTTCCCCGACATTTCACCCCCTCCCCCTTAACCAATTTTACTCAAAAATATTCCAATCCGACCCCTAATGGAATAACACCTATCTATAGCGCAATTCCTTTAAAAGTTATGATGAATACCGATAGACAGAAATTTTCTTTTTTGCTCATAATACTTTTTTTACACGTTTTGAGAGATTTTAAGATGATTAGGCAAGCCAAAAAATATTTAATTTAATAATATATCAATATTATAAAAATAATATATCGATATTATAATAAATAAACAAAATATTGATTAAAACCGCTGTAGCTTAATGCTTTTCCATGCCCACGAGCTGGATTGTTGTCATAGGGTGACGTCATGCGCAAACGTGGTCGAAATTGGATCGTCAAGTGGGCTTATCTTCTCGAGTAATAGCATCATGGGTATATATTATAAAAGATTTGAAAAAAAAACAAATAATAAAGCAATCATGCTTAAATTACTTTTCCTACGGCTGATTAGAATATACACAAAAACGCACTACCAACTTCCCTCGAAAAACGTCAAATTCAAACAGCGTGTGAAAATGTTTTCACACGCAGTGTTAAAATTAAAATAATACAAAACTAATGAATCGAAATGAAATCTAGCATGCGAATATTGTCACTACTGACAGTTCTCATTTAAATAAAGTCAAATTTATTGCAAATTTAGAAAAAAAGCAGTGTTACACGATGATAGAAGATGAATTTAACTGCACTCTTCCAGAAATACTTAAAAGAGCCTCCCAAATCACGCATAATCTTCTACCGTTAATTTCAAAAGAAAGATATGAAAGTTGTTATGAAACATTTGTAAAATGGAAGAATGAACGAAACCTAAAATCGTTATCAGGGAATGTTCTGCTTGTTTATTTTGAAGAATTACCGCAAAAATATAAATCCTCAACAATGTGGTTGCAATATTCTATGTTGAAGAACACTATAAACCTCAAACACAGTATTAATATTACGAAGTATCATAAGTTACTAGATGATCTGAAGAGGCAAGCAGACAATTATATGCCAAAGAAATCAAGAATTCTAACATCCCAAGATTTTCATAAATTTCTGAATACGGCTCCAGATAACATGTATTTATTAAAAAAGGTAAGTTTTAGATTTAGTAAAAGTATAAAAATATCCAATCAAGTTTTTTAATTGTTAGACCGTAGTTGCTGTTGGCTTAGCCGGAGCTTGTAGGCGAGAAAAACTGTGCCAGATGAAAATCGATGATATGCAAGATCTAAATTCCGCTTTCTTAGTTAAAATCAGACATACTAAAAATAAGATACCTCGATCTTTTACTATAACAGGAAGATGTTATGATATTTGCAGAAAATATGCTAGTCTGCGGCCTCCTAATATTACAGAAAAGAGATTTTTCTTAAATTACGAAAATGGAAAATGCACGAAACAGGTAGTAGGAATTAATAAAATCGGAAGTATGCCTAAAGAAATAGCAACTTTTTTAAAACTACCAAACCCCCAGGAATATACTGGCCATTGTTTTCGTCGATCATCGGCTACAATGTTAGTTAATGCAGGTGGCGATGTGCTAACCTTCAAACGCCATGGAGGATGGCGTTCTAGCACTATCGTTGAGGGGTACATAGGCGATTCCGTACAGAATAAAATTGAAATTTCCAAAAAAATTGTCGGATTAGTAAATCCTTCTGATCATAATTTAGAAGAAAGCACATCAGATAACCATCTACACAAAATACATTCTTTTGATCCTCAGTATTCTGAGGCATCTTGTTCAAACGAAAAAAACATAACTATAACTGAAAATGTGTTGAAAGGGCAGGACTGTCCTACAATAAATTTTAAAAATTATTCTAACATAACAGTAAATTACAATTTCAAATAAAACAGCAAGGAAGACTATTAATAAGCGAATACAAATTATTTTTTCATTGTTGTTATTGTTCATTGTTGTTATTATTCATTGTTGTAAATATATGTATGTATAACTGTATGGTTATAAATATAAATCAGTTCTGGTCGTTTGAAATAAGATTTGCTTTACCAACAATACTACCATTACAAATATATGATAATAAAGTGGCAGCCTTAGGAAAAGTATAGTGTGTAACTCGTGTAAAATAGCACTTTCCACACTTTGTGACTTGTGGCACTCGCCTTTCAGGCTCGTGCCCCAAACCGTCACATGCGTGTGAAAAGTGCTATTTTCAACACTTGTTGCACAATATACTATTTTTCTACGATTACTATCCAAGGTAGGCTTTTGCTCTTCGAAATATAACCGCAAAGTTGACGTTTTCTGCGAAATGACATTAAGTGACAGCTTTTTTGCTCGCCTAATTAAATTAGATATAATATAATATTATTTCTTTTTAGTAAATGATTTTCAAGTTATTTATACGTAGTTTGATTTTTTTTTGGTTTATTATCCAAGTTAACATTGAATTTAAATATCAATACATTACACTCTATTTACGACACATTTTTAGTTTTTATGTATATTTCTCAAAATAATGTGATCGTAGACAAAATCTTGTGTGTATTTTGAGCAAAAAGTTCGTAAGCCGCACGTGCGTGAAGTTGGCCCTACCATGTTATGATAATTACACCAAAGTTGTACCAATATTTTGCAACTAATTTGCAACTTTAGGCAACCGGTATAAAAAAATTTGCAACCTTACATTTTAGTTCTAATCGCTAAAACAAAATTGGTGGGGCCAAATTCACGCAGCCCCACCACATCGTCGTATTGACCTCGAACCTTTTTCATAATTTAGAAACTAATTTGCAACTTTAGGCAACCTTCGTGAAAAAATTTGCAACCTCGTGGTTACGGCGGAAACGACTTCTTAAGTTGATGGCGCCAAATTCACGCAGCCCCACCACATCGTCGTATTGACCTCGAACCTTTTGCATAATTTAGCAACTAATTTGCAACTTTAGGCAACCTTCGTGAAAAAATTTGCAACCTCGTGGTTACGCCGGAAACGACTCCTTAAGTTGATGGGGCCAAATTCACGCAGCCCCACCACATCGTCGTATTGACCTCGAACCTTTTGCATAATTTAGCAACTAATTTGCAACTTTAGGCAACCTTCGTGAAAACATTTAAAACCTCGTGGTTTGAAGGGGGGCCAAATTCACGCGGCCCCACCACATCGTCGTATAGACCTCGAATTTTTTGGGGCCAACATTTTTGCATCTGACACGCCAATCATAATTAACCAAAACAAAACATATTATGGAGAGCATTTCTGTAAAATTTAAAACAATTTAAAACAATTAAACAAAACGTTGGGACTTAACAAATTTAATTCCATAATACAAATTTTCAAAGTATTAAATTATAATTTATAACGATAAAAATATTATTTTTATTAATATTACCTAGTTTCTGTGATAATAATAATCATTTCCAAATTCATTATATCCTTTATATTTAAGATTATGCTCCTCTTAAAATGTTAAATAATATTTTATTTTATTTTGTTTTGTTTAATTATGATTTGCGTATCAAATACAAAAATGTACCTACTAAATATTACAATATATGCAAATGGTGCTTATATTTATATCACCATCTTAATTTATTAAAGTAAAACTGTAATATCGTAACTATAAATTTTAATAATATATTAGTATGTAATAAAATAGATTAAGAAAAAGATGTTGGCCCCAAAAAATTCCA